CCCACCAAAAAAAAAAATATATATATATATAAGTAACATGAAATAACACTCAATTCAGGGAATCTCCCACATTATGGTGAACACGGAACATCGAATGGAAAAGACCATGTAGAAAGAAAAGACTTTGCTACCGTTGGGATAAGGGATCTCGTCTTTGTGGCAAGTCTGCTTGATCGGCAAACTGTAGTGTAGCTGCAGACAGAAATGTAAGGATTCTGGGAGATTCTTGGGTTGAGGATGTAGAATTAGATCTGTTCCTCATATGGCGCTTCTTATGGCTGCAAGCTCGCGATAAAATTGTTCATGCCAGCAGTATCGCCCCAAAACCTACACCCCAAACCCCTATAAGCCCTACAGCCCTGCCTCCTGAACGGTATTACCCTCACATTTCTTCAGCGCCTTCTCAGGGATCCCATTCCAAGTCGCTATCCCTGAGGCAGTTAAAAGCTTCTGGCTACAGTGCAACTACATGGTTGTTCAGAGAACTTTGGTTCCTTTGGCACACAAACTTCGGCGCAGCACCCAAAATTACCGGACTGCAGACTGCATGTTGAAACAAAAAAACTGAAGGTCTCGTTCTAGAAGCCTTACCCTCCCCCTAAATAACATTAAATTTGAAAAGAAGCCGCTTAAAAGCGGCAGTGGTCTACAATGGACACTTTCCAGGTTCCAGGTTAGTTTGGGAGTGTACATCCCTGAACTCTGTACCTTCAATCTGGATCCCCATGTTCCCTGCGAAGCCTACACCCGATTTCCCTATCCCTCCCTCTACAGTCTTCTGTTCCCGACCCCCCTCAACCCTAAGGCCCATACCCTAACCCTAAACCCCAAACTCTAACCTTAATCCCCAAACCAATCCGCCTCATCCTGAATTTCTGGAGGCCTCCAATCCGAAGAAGGGCGGCAAGAAGGGGAAGGGCAAGTAGCAGTTGTTCGGCACCCGGGAGACAGCTCTTGAAGCCTGACGGCATAGGGTTGGGGTTCATATGAGCTATAAATAGCTATAATCTAAACTCGTTAAAGGGGGGTTCATAGGGCATTATATAGGTGAGTATTATAGGGGTTATTAGGGGAGATACTAGGAGTTTAGAATGTAGGGATTAGGGTTTAGGGATTTCAGGGTTTGGGGTTTTGAGTTCATTGTTGAGGCTTGAGGTTGAATGCTTCGTGTTTAAGGTTCGTACTTCTCCGAATGCAAGAGAGCATCTCCTTACCTGGAAAGGAGTTATGTTGTACCTTCCCGCATTTCTGGGTTTCATCATAAGGGCCCGGGAATGCGCCACCCTATGTCCCACAATCCTTCGGAATTTCTGTTTATTGGGAATCCTAGGTCTACATGCGTCCTCCGAATCATGCTTGGCCTCTGCTTATTATGACACCCCAATACTGTTGATACTGAAAATCCTGCATGACCTTAGTATACTATAGTACCATAATTCCCGAGGTATATGGTACCTAGGGTAATGCAGGATTTTTAGTATCCACTGTAGTAAACAGCAACAAATCCCCAAGCCCAACATGCCAAACCGGATTTCCGAAGGCAGATCAGTTCCTAAATGGTGCCTTGAACCTAAAGCGACTTCTTGCATCCATCGTATGTTTGCATATCAACCTAATTTCACTAGTGTAGAAAATTGTTCACTAGCATAGAGTGGTTATCCCCCCAATGAAATCCCCTTACAGCTTGAGTATAAAGTGCCCTCATAAGTACACCATTTTAGTGAATTACTTAGGTTCCTGTGACTTAGTAACTACCCATATCTGGGATTTAGCCCAACCACTTGTAAATGGGCTAGCTAGTAGAACAGTCATTTTACAACGAGCGCGGGTAATGAGCAGTCACTAAGTGCCATGAACCTCCGAGCAGGCACTTGTCGGTTCAGAGCTTAGGGTACATTACACTTGATATAGACGAGTGTGTGTCATCGACATTCCATGGTGCTTAGTAAGGAATTGAGCCATTGGGGTCGATTCTATCCGGGCTAGGGTTTAGGGTCTAGGAGTTAGGGTTTAGTCCCGAAACCCTGAACCCTCAACCCTAATGTTTAGGGTCTAGGAATCAGGGTTCAGGGTTTAGGGTTCTACTGGGCACCAGGTAAGCCTGATGCTGCCACTTCTGAAGGTCCCAACCACGAGCAAAGTCCAGGCCTGAATGAAAGCCCCCCCCCATTCCCGATATCAAGTATTCCCAAAATAAGGTATTACCTGGACCCCCAAAAGTATGTAGAATAATGGCCTTTATGGCTATTATTATGGGTTTAGGGCTATTATTTTACATACTTTGGGGGTTCAGGTATATATTATATGGGGAGTATTTAATGTCGGGGGGGTGGGGGGAGGTTGATAGCAGGGGGAGGGGATGAAACACTAAACCCCAAGAGCCCATCCTCATGTTGCGGAACAGCTTGGCTGAAGGTCCTGAGTGCTATCTGACTCCGACTGCATGCTGTGATTATAGCCGCTTGAGGTTGTCGTGGAGCAAGTTGCGATACAGGATTTGGGGGTTTAGGGTTTAGGGTTTAGGGGTTTAGGGTTTAGGGCTTAGGGTTTAGGGTTTAGGGATTTGGGGTTTAGGCAAAAAATCCTGAGACTATTTGAGTTCCTCTGAAGGAATGGAAAAGAAAATGGACACTACTTAGGATTTTTAGGGTTTAGGGTCTAGAAGGAATGGAAAAGAATATGGAAACTACTGAAGGTTTTTAGGATGTAGAAAGAATGGAATGGAAGCTACTATGATGGGGTATGTAGGGATTACTACAAGGATCCATTCCCTAAACCCTAAACCCCTTTCCTAGCTAACCAAAGGTAGGTTAGCGGACCCCACGCGTAAAAGAACTATAGGACTAAGGTTTCTGGCTTGTACAGGGTAGGGGGTTTAGGGTTTAGGGGTTTAGGGGTTTAGGAGCTCAGGATTTATGATTCAGGGGTTGGGGTTTCGGGTTAAGGGGGGTTTGGGTTTGTGGCCCTTGGGTCTGGGGATCCTTTTAAGGGACCCGAGGGAGTACATTGGTGCATAGAAGGGCTACTTTAGTGCCATGTTGGGGAAACCTTTTCGGGGTACGACCTTAGGGGTACAACCCGGGAACCCTTGAATGGGTAGGTGCAGGGATTGTATGGGCTCGTATAAATATGGGGATGCATTCTTTTAAGGCCCGCCCCACCCTCACGGGCGTTCCACCTTTCTCTAATACGACAACAAGAGGACAGCCTATGACACGGATTATTGCAAGATCCCT